GTAGGTCTCAGAGCAGAGGGTCCCTCATGGTCTGCTGCTGCTGCTGGACACTAACACAGCTTCTCCTCTCCAATAACTTACTGCAGATGCATCGTCACAGAATGCAAACAATAAGAGACCAAAGTAACAATGCAGTATGTAGCGTGTCTTCACCGACTTCTTTTATTGCAGCACTTCCTCTTTTCCTGCATTCATATTTATTTATTCAGCTGGTGGCTCAAAAACGTACAAATGCCATCTGTCCCTTTTCTATATGCACCCATTCACTACTGGGTCACAGTGACAGGGTTACAGACAGAGGGAGAGCAAGCAAACATGCGGAGCTTGGTGTGGATAAGGTGCAAACCACCAAGCCACTGCGCTACACTAAGTACATAAAACACAAAGGTAAATAAAGACAAGACAAAGAATAGGTGGTCTGTACCTGTCTGTCAGGTGCAGAGATTGATTGTACTGGATATAAATGACAAACAGTTGGTTTACTCTCCTGTTACCTAATGCAGGTCCATTACAGAACCTCCTCTGATTTGCTGAAATTCTTACAAACTGAGTGAATCTCCTTGTTTGTTCAGGACCTTCACCGACGCCAAGGATTTACGTTATACCTGCAGTGTTGATCCCTACAGCTATGATCCTAACTGGATCCATTTATCTTATATATAAATCCAAAAAATCCAGGAAAATCGAAGGTAAGAATGTTCAGCTTTAACAATGAGTTCTGTCAGGTACAGCAATAAGTGATATGCATTTTTTTTGTCATAGTGCCTTTATACTGTATTATTAATGTGCTTTTTTATATAATTACACATAGTCAAATGTCCTCACTTTGCATGTTAAGGAGTCACATTTCTGCCCTTGCTTAGATAACCTAGTGTCAGGGGCACGGTAGGGGCATGGATACCCTGGCAGATTCAGGGGGCACAAAACTGTACAGGGGCCCTTCTATACCTAAGGGAGGTGGCCCAGTGTGACATTTTGTCAGGGGGCCTAGAATCTCTAGCTATGCCGCTGCCTAGAAGTGAGTTCTGTGCATAGAAGTAACTTTGCCTGATTCTGTCTGCAGAAAGTGAGAACCCCAGGGATGCAGGCAGTGATCAGGTGACGTACGCAGACATTGACACTGGGAGGACAAACACGCAGCTTTTGGTAAGAGCTGCACGCAGAGTCACCCTGTCGTCTCTGTGTGTTATTTTTATGCACGTCTTTGAAATACAAACATGGCTGCTCTTCCCCAGCCCTCAAAGGCTCACCATCTCTGTGCATCTGTACCTTCTTTTGAAGTGGTTGTTCGGCAAAGGGGGAGGTGCAGTAATTATAAACCTTNGTACCTTCTTTTGAAGTGGTTGTTCGGCAAAGGGGGAGGTGCAGTAATTATAAACCTTACAGAAGAAAACAGATTGAGTTTCTCAGGCCCAGAGGGTGGGGAACCTGTTCCATGGAGGGCCGGTGTGGGTGCAGGTTTTTGGGATAATAAAGCAGCGGCTTTCAACTCCAGTCCTGGGGACCCACTGTTATTGGCTGATTGAGAGGTCATCCCAAAAACCTGCACCCACACTGGCTCTCCATGGAACAGGATCCCCACCCCTGTGTTAGGCTGAGACGCATCCATCGGGTGGATCCTTCATGGATCAGGAAAAGCTGGACACACTAGACCGCATTTGAAGGATCTGTTGAAATGGGACGGCCTTGTCACGCTGCTATCACGCATTAGCTCTTCGAATGCAGCCTTAGACAGATGCAGCCCCGGAATTCAGACACAGCCTCAGTCTCTTCTGATGTCATACATCAGGAATCTGAACCAGGATACCCTGAGGGGCGGCTCCCTCTTCCTGCCTGTCCTTACTGTGTGTTTCCTTCCTGCAGGGGGAGTCCATTACAGAGGCAGAACGCCGCACCGTGTACGCAGCTCTCAGCACATCTGCGTACCAGCCTGAGGCAGCTGAACAGCACAACAAGGTTCCTTAGAGCCTTTAAAGGCTGTTTGGTCCATCTGCTGATGGTCTGGGG